ACCAAACTAAAACAAACATGTTTTGATTGAAACTGTTAAAATCCAGTCTCATTCCTCCTTTCCTGGGTTGACTTGGTTTTTATAGTAGATGGTTTTGTGATCACAATATTGATTGTGATCAAGAGAGGGAATGATACTTTAACAATCAAATCTAACTAAGAAGAGAGGATTGATACTGTATCCTAACAATCCCTCTCTTGATCACAATCAATATTGTGATCACAAAAGCATCTACTATAAAAACCAAGTCAACCCAGGAAAGGAGGAATGAGACTGGATTTTAACAATCCCTCTCTTGATCACAATCAATATTGTGATCACAAAACCATCTACTATAAAAATCAAATCTAACTAAGAAGAGAGGAGTGATACTGTATCCTAACAAAACCAAATTAAATCAAATGCAATTTCCTTTACATCTGGCTAAATCAAACATGGTTCAATTTAACCAAACCTTCAAATTACCTCACGGGATGAATAAAATTATGAAAACAAGCGCTGTGTCTATCTTGCCAGCACATAAAGATGAGCTATCATTTTTTAATTTTTTTTTCTTTTTAATAACGTGACATAACTTTGGCAATGGTTTGTTTCAACTATTCATTGAACACATAATACGCTTAAGGACCATTAAAAAAAAACAAAAAACAAAAAACGAAAATGCTCTCAGTTGATTGTCTGAGTGGATTAAACCAAATTTCTGCTTTGTGAAAATGAAATCATTTTTCCTCACATGGCATACGAGGATCAATAACCACCAACCGTCATTGCAGATGAACTGGAAGGAGGCAGCAGGACCGATGAAAGATGTTCAGTCTTGTCTGGATGCATCCGCTATGAAGGACACACACACACACACACACACACACACACACACACACACACACACACACACACACACACACACACACAAGCAAGCAGAGAGGTCTACACAATGGGGGGATGTGTTGATGGTGATGTGATTTCCATGGCAACAGCAGCACGCTGAAAAGAGAGCCTCTACCAGAACATATGTCACTCTTGACTGATCACACACACACACACACACACACACACACACACACACACACACACACACACACACACACACACACATACAGCCTGGCAACACATTTTATGTGTGCAGCCAATCACACATAATCAAAGCCTTCCTCACCGCTTTTCACCTGTTTCCAAAGACTTAGTCCAGATTCTCATCCTGGTCCTGATGTGACCCTAGTTGAAATACTCATCCATTTCCTGATTTGGGTGACTTCCCTAGTCCTAATCTAGGATCTTTCTCAGAATCATGAAAGGGACCTGGTTCTGATCGAGTCGAGTATACTGGTCCTGGTCTTTATCTTAATCCCGACCTTAATGATCACCTATTTCCTGATCATTGTCCTGACTGATCTGGATGCCTGTGCTGGTCCTGGTCCAAAACTTGTGTCTGGATCAGGACAAGGCCCCTTTTCCTAATTTAGTCTACTTCTAACCTTCATTCTAGTCTTGATCTTTATATTAATCCTGGCCTTGATGTTTCATCTATTTCCTGATCCTTATCGTGGTCCTCAATCTAGTCCTGATGCTCAAACTTGTCCCAGTCTTGTACTTGATTATGGGCCATTTCCTAGTCCTGGTCCATTTATATTCCTTGATTTTAGTGAATTTCCTGCTCCCGATCTTCATAGTCATACTGGTTAATTTCACTGTTCTTGTCCTGGTTTTAGTGTTTCTCAATTTTCTGATTCTAGACCATTTCCTGTCATGATCCTCATCCCAGTCAATTTACTTAGGATTCTCATCCTGGTCATCCTGGTCTACGGCCTGGCCCGTTTCCGGAGTCTAATTTATTACCTGTCCTGAACCTTATCCTGAACTGGTTCATTTTCATTTCCCGAGTCTTGCTCAATTACTCATCCCAATCCACATTCTGATACGGTCCGGTTCGTTATCCCGATCCGTTCTCTGGCCCTGTTCCTAATTCTCATCTTGACTTCAGTCCAGAATCTCCATCCTAGTTTATTTCACAGCCCTGATCCTCACCATAATACTGCTGAAACTTGTCCAGATTCTGGTCTGAATCCTGCTTCTTGCCCCATTCTTAGTCAGTTCATGTTTATTATATCTTCTATGAAATTAGTTAGCTTTAAAAATATCTTGTTTCGAACAAAATAATCTAACGTTCAACTTGTGTAAGTGACAACAACATAGCCGACGTGTTTGACACATGCCCCTTCCTCTTTGTGTGCGTCTGGGCCATATTAATTACAGTCAGTAAGTGAGTGGGGTTGGGGTGTGCAAATATAAAGAGGTGGGTGAAGGGGGTTCAGGCGAGGCACAATATTAGTAGGCCATCAAGTCGCTGCTGCAGCAGGGATCGGCTTTTGATGTCTGCTGCAGTCTTGCGCACAAACACGCCCAGAGTATTATGCGTGTCTTCTGGTGTGCGCAAGAAAGTGAAAACAATGTTGAGTTTGTGTATATTCATGCACACGTTGAGCCACTGTATACTAATTTTTGGTCAAATGGTGGGGTGTAAGACATTGATAACCCCCCCCCGACCCCCACCCACCCCCGTCCCCTCTTTCTCACCAACACATTGGTCCTTGGCAGGTCCCCGTTACCATAGCAACGCTCTCGTTGCCGCAGGCTAGCTGGAGCGATGTGCAGCGCTATTTGGAAATAAAAGAAAGTGAGAGGGAGGAATTGGAGATGGGGGAAGGGAAGAAGGGTTGAAGAGAGGGGGTTGGCTCTCCAATTCATTAACTCTATAACGACCCCCACCCCCCTTGCATCCCATCACAAGCATCAGCTGAGCCCAGTGAAGGCCTCAGCTTTCGCTCAGCAGTCTAAACACGTCGCAGCCAAACTTCCAAGCTACATTTATTATTCATCCTCCTTGACTCACTCGCGCGCGTGGACGTGGACACACACACACACACACACACACACACACACACACACACACACACACACACACACACACGCACACAGACTTGTTTGTGGGGTTTGTTATGCCTGACAAGTCTATCAGATTTCACGTGGATATCTGAAGCTGGCTTTAGGGGCTGGATTTCTTAGATTTCCAGTCGTAGTTTGTCTTTGGAGAAAACTTCCCCAATCATTTCAAGCATGGCTTTTTTTTTTTTTTTTTGTGGGTTAACTCAGACATATCTGCGAAATTTGACATTGCTAAAAGTCAAAACTGCATGGCTTCAGGGGCTGAATTTTTCCTAATGTCCAGAGATGTTTGCCGCGTGTCTCCATCTCCGCATGAGCAGATGCTGGAGCTCATTAGGAGTCAGGAACACACTCTGGTGCAGAGCAGCACAGCACATGACGACCACCGAGAAGCGGGAGGGGGAGGATGCAGAGGACTATTGCACCTGAAAACACACAAAAAGCACAGTGATTCGGGTTGCACTTGGGAGCTCTCAAAAGAAGTGAACAAATTTTTTTTCATGAAATTCAACTCGTGTCGCTGATGGCTGACTTGTATGCGAGCATCGTGGGCTCGGTTCCCACTCAGTGACGGTTGTTCGAATCGTCTCCATACATGCGCTTCGACTGACCGGTGACCAGATCAGGGTATAGTTTTCGTTCGGCTCCAGCACTCACCCACGACCTTGTTCAGGATAAGCATGGAAAATAGATGGTTGGTGACTGTGAAGCTGCAGCGCCGACTGGAGGAAAGGGCGGAGTGTAGTGCCACCTGCTGGACAGAGCAGTACAGGTTTCATATGTAAAAATGGATTCATCCATGACTGGCGAGACGGTGTGAACTGAGTGAAGGACACGCGACTTTAAGTGACAGTTCAAAATAATTAAAGTGAGCAAAATAAAGCTCATTGCTGTTTAATTGTCAGAAAACGGCCACCGGGCATCACTAACATTCATGTGAACGTTGCTATTCGTGCCTGAAAAGAGAACGTTCGCTCGTGTAATTTTGGACGTTCTGCCAATCTCTTTCCATAGACTCTCACTATGGAGAAAATGCTTTATATTGCTTCACATCTGAACTGCAATCAATTATCAATATGAATGTGGGCATCTGGACTTATGTTCACTTCACTTCGGAAATTATTTCAATGAGTCAATATTTAGGATTTTATGGATACGTAACGTCCATAAAACGTTAAAGACTCGTTTGTTTGCTGCCGTCTGACGTCAGGCGACGTGAAGCTGAGGAAAACACTTAACGTCCACAAAGTAAAAAAATATATATATAGATCGGCCAGATAATCTTAACACTTGAAGTGGGGATGAGACGAGCTGCGTTCATAAATTTTGGTGAACGATTGGTTGTAGTTTTCAGACATTTGAGTAACGTTAGGCTTTGTATACGTACACAATACATAGCGCTTTCATAACAGCTGCAGCTGTAACAAAGCACTTTACGAAACAGTTCACATAAAATTAAAAAAAAAAACAAAACAAAAAAAAAACGTATAAATCAAACCGTTCTTCCAATTTTGCATTGGTGAAAAGGAAAGAGATCCGTTTCTTTTGTTCAGGTTAGGTTTTTATGTCAAGTTGATTTAAAAAGTAAATCTTTCCAAATTGATTACACTTTTGTGACATTATCGGTTGATTTTTGTTCAGATTTTTTCCCGGAGAGAGTTTATTGAGACGTTTTATTTTGTAAGTTTACTAACCAAATGCTACAGTCTAATGTAAATTAAAGATAGTGATCCAAGTACCTGTAAATATAGTGTAGCAAAAAAGCAATCATGTAACAAACATATGGCCAGAATTCAAAAAGTTGACCTGATTGAAAAAAGTAATGCAATGTTTAGATTCGGCACACCAAAATTTGCCAGAATCAGTGAAAGCATTTTCACAATTTGTTGTTTACTAGTATTGAAAAAACATTTGAAGAAAAAAAAGCCATGGACAACACTGACAATACAGTATTTTGTTTCATAGTACAAATCAATGTTTATAAATAATCCATTTGAAAGACAGAGGACTACACAAATGTGCTTAAAAGACAAATGCTTATTATTATTATTTTTTTTATTAAACATTTCTTTTGGGGCTTCACAGAGGTCTACTGGTTAGCATGTGTGCCTCGCAGTCTCGAGGTTCTGGATTCACTTCCTGTGTAGAGATCGAACGTTCTCTTAGTGCGTGGATGCGGTTTTCCTCCCCCATTCCAAAATGTGAATGGAAGTGAATGTTTGTCTCTGAGTAAAACTGGTCGATGAGCTGACGACCAGTCCAGGGTGTACACCACCTGTCACCAAAAGTCATCTGACATACAACCTAATGAGGACAAATGCGAAAACGTTTTGAGGTACGCCCTCCCTCCAAAAGAAAAATTGAGTTCAATCTGAGTTGATGACATTTATTCGGCATCCATTTTGCTTTTTTTCCTCTTTTTCTTCTTCTTTGCCGAGCTGTCATCATTGTATAAAGCGCCCACATCCAGTTCACGCTTCAATTCCTGTTTCACTTGCACAACGGCCACTTCCTCCTTCACCTTTTTCCTCTTCCTGCTGCTCTCTTCCTCAGTGTGTTCCTGGCCTGTTTCCTCAACTTCCTGTTTGACCCTCACTTCTTCCTCCTTTTTAATGTGCTTGTCTTTCTTTTTCTTCTTCTTCCTCTTCCTGTCCTCATCTTGTGTCTCCTGCGCCGTGGTGGGCGTCTTGCTTCCGAAGGGCTGGAATCTCTGCTTGAGTCCGGGCGGGATGGCCGGCGCGGGCGGGGCGTGGACGACGCAGGGAGGCGCGCGGGCGCCCCCGTAGCTCTCGCAAACGCTCAAGAGGCCAGAGAAGGCAGGCCCCACAACCGGCGACGAAGATGCAGCGGTGAGCAAGCGGAGGTCGGCGGTGCCGTGATTGGACGCCAGGATGTTGTAGACTTGCTGGCCGTGCCCCTCGCCGGCAGCCGAGGCGGAAGGAAGCTTCAGTGTCTGAAAGCCGGAAAGATTCACGCTTGCACCTCTCAAACTGTGGGGGAAAATAAAAGTCAGACAGCATTGAGATTTTCACCACATTTATAATAGAAAGAACAGGTGTGACAAAGGAAATAAGACCGTGGTAGATTGCTTACTTTTGTCACAAGACAGTGAACACCCGCATATTCATGACTCAGCAATCGCAAGTTTGTATATTCAGATTTTTGAAGGGATCCGTCCTCCATTATTCATTGAACATCTCATCTGTTTTTTGCGCTAGACAAAGCAATAAAAGTAGTACTTTGACACCATCTGGTGGAATCTTGCTGTTGTGAGGCTGAACAAATTTAGGGAAAAAGGTATTTTCCATTGATATTGCGATTGGGATTTAATATGCGATTCTTTTTTTTCACGGTCCTCCTCCCATGAATTATTTCAAACAAAAGCAATAAATTCAGCTGTATTACTGGTACATTAATCGATTACTCTGTCAAGGGCATTGTTTCAAATTGATAGTGTAGAAAATGTACGAACACAATATATATGATTCTGTTCCTGGTTTGGTCATGTCAGAGAATAGGCAAAAATGTTAACGATTGCATTCCAAAGTCAAAGCTAATGCTTTATTTTAATTCATCACAAAGATGATCCGTCTGCTTTCAAGAAGGACGACAGAAACCTGAGAATATTAGGCCGTTCCGAAACTGAAATTCAAAGAATTAGGACAATTCTAATTTAACAAAGCGAGGTAAACAGTTATCAAAAATAGATTAATTTGATAATTGATTAATTGTTAATGACTCATTGCACCTCTACAAGAATAATCTGATCAAATATTTACCATAAATCTATTTGGGTTTATGGGTTACGTAGTTGCAACCTTACTAAACACTGACAACTTTTCATGGCTCATGAAACAATGGCACGTCAACACTCGGACTGCACTTATTAAGGACCAAACAGATCACAACACTAAATATCAAAATTTGGTTTGACTGCCAACCAGTTCAGGATGTACCCTGCCTCCTGCCCAAAGTCAGATGGGGTAGGCTCCAGCACTCACCCGCGACCTTGTTCAAGATAAGTGGCTCAGATAATGGATGGATGTAATTATCCAGCCGACTGACCAAAATTCAGCCGTTTCGTTTTTTTCTCCCCATGAATTTAAATCTTTGCGATTTGAAAAATGCCTTCTATCACAGTGAGATGTCATTTTGAATTTCATGAATTGTTTTGTTGGCAGTGCTTGAATGCCCCAGTGAATATCATTTTCAAGTTTGATTTTGCTCCCCTTATATGCAGCTACTTTTCTACCGTGCAGAAAGGATTTGTGCCTGCATTCCCTAACATTTATTACTCTGCGTGCCAAGAAGCTTAATGAATTAATTGCATAAATTGCTAGTGCGCATTTGTTTGTCCAGTTTGTGCAAGTGTTATTTAGCCTAGAATGCCAACTAAAACCGTTAATGAGCCTCATTTGAGAGTGTTTTCTTTGTTTGTTTTGTGTGTGTTGAATAACTTAAAGGGGAACAATACATATCCATAACAGTTTTACCGCAGCAGTTGTACAATTCAGGTGTGAGCGTGGTTCTAATGGTCTAATTTCTTGACTGTCACACCCCCCTAAAGTAGCCAAACGTCATACATGATGCCATAAGGGACCAACTGACTTGTGTCAACCGGTAAATTTGTTACCTGTATCTTTATCGTAACTAGTGTGTGGAAAATACCCTAAAGAAAACATTAAAGAAGTGACGGACCATCGAGGATCAAAGTTGGCAGGGGCTTTAATGAGCCACAGTTCGCTCTCGCTGCTCTTCAGGCTCTCGGTCAGCGTGTTGCTGCAAGGCTTGTGACTGAAGCACACGAAGTCATCGGGGCACTGATACTTGCTGCTCCTCTCTGCCAAAAACAGCATTTAGAACCTCATATAGTACAGTACACTTAAGTACATGTTATCTTCATATAATTGCATTATGCTGATGTTTGCTGCTTCGAGAGAGAAACATAATCGAGTGCCAACTCACCGACGTGTTTTTGCCTAAACGACGCTTCCGCTGGCGGGTGACTCGCTTCGTCCTCACTTGACGAGGATGAAACATCTCCAGGCATTTTTATGCTGTTGAAAAATTACCGGGGAAAAGTGGTCCAAAATGTATTCCAACGTTTGAAAGCTGGGGGTGCGCGCTTGAAAAGATAACAGCACGTGTGCGTGTGGCCACAGATGAACTGTGACCCTAGTGTACAGCACTTCCTGCGTCGGCCTTGTTTGTAGTCCAACAACCAGACGCGTTGTGTTGGTTTGCTTTAAGAGTCCGATGAAGAAACGACATGACCCAGAAAGCATTTCGCCAGTTTATTTACGGTTATTCAGTGCGGGCTAGAACTGGCACGAACATATCGCGAGAGCGGTTGACAGCGGTTGGTTGCGTCGCTTCCTGTGGCAACACTGTTTGTAGTCCAAAAACCAGACGTGGTGCATCCGTTTGCGTTGAAAGAGCGCGACACAATAAACAACATCTCCCACAATGCATCTTACCGCGTTACGTAAAGCTCGCGCGTTCTTCGCGAGAGCGGGTTGACAGGAGTCAGGAGCAGGCCTAAGTGGGTAAACAAATTCGGAATATGTGGAGGAAATCGTCAAAATCAACAAAGTGTTATCTCGCCTTTTATTGTTAGTGTGTTTGCGGTTGTTCCAAACCGTGCCCGAGGAAGCTGAAAGAGAAGCTAATTAGCAACCAGCGCTCTTAACACCACTTTAAAGATAAACAGGTTAGGTTAGCTAACGTGCGCGAGGTCGGGTTAGCCGGCTAACTCACCCGCCGGCTCGCCGTCCGGCAGTCATGTCGTCGCCTTCCTCGTTCTCGCGGCGCCAGTGGTGTTACTTGTGCGACCTGCCCAAGATGCCGTGGACGGTGGTGTGGGACTTCAGCGAGGTGGTGTGCCGCGGCTGTGTCAACTACGAGGGCGCCAACCAGATCGAGTTCCTGATCGCTAGCGCGCGGCAGTTGAAGCGCAGCCACGGCATGCAGGACGGCAACGTCCGCTCACCGGGACCTTCGCCCCACAAACACGCCGCACCGGGCCGCGGGGAGCCGGCGACGGATGGCGGTCGGCCCCACGGTGAGCGCTTCGACCGTGGTGGTCGAGGTGAGGGCAGCAGCGCGGCCGCCGCTCGCGTGCCGCCCAACGGTCTGCACCGCGACGGGCAGCCGCCACAAGAGGTCAACCGCCAGAGCCCCAGCGGCAGCCGGAGACCCATGATCGGAGCGGCCATACCCCCGAATCTCGTGACTCAGAGCATAGCAGGAATCCCCCACGGGCTGTTGACGGGCATGCCGGCTGGCCTGACCGCTCGGACGGCCCCCATGAGCAGCCCGATGATATTGCCACCTGTGCTGGCCGAGATGAACCGCCGTCAGCTCGGTATCGGTATGGGAATCGCCCCCTTCATCACGCCGGAGCTCGAGCGGGAGCTGAGCTCGTCCCAGGCCAAGTCGCAGCAGCCCCAGGCCCACGTCGGCTCCAGCAAGACCGCCGGGCTGCCATCATCATCGGCCTCCGTCAGCCAAACGAGCCCCAAGCCCGCGTCGTCGCCGGCCAGGCAGCCGCGGCCCCTCGCCGCCCGCGCTGGAGGGGAGCCGCTGTCGTCCAGCAGCTCGTCAGAGGCGGCCACCACTGCTGCAGCCGCACTGCCCCACAGTGGAGCGTCCGAGGTGGGGTCCACCTCGGCCGCCAGCAGCCTAACCGGAAGCACCTTGTCCTGCACGCTGTGCCATGAGAGGCTGGAGGACACACACTTTGTACAGTGTCCTTCCGTGCCGGGACACCGGTGTGTACCAACTCACAGTACTGCACTGTATTGAATGTAATGTATACTGTTGGTGGGCAAAGTTTAATCGTTTCAGTTAACTTTTTTAGAAATACCTCCTGAATTAATTATTTTCTAACAGTAAAAATTTAGCATTTTTTTTTTTTACAGTAACTGGTGTAGCACGTAGAAAAAGTCAATGTTAATAAATAGCAAAAACAAAAGAGGTTAGTTTAGCTTATAAATACACTTCATTAACATAACACGTCACAAAAAGAGAAAAATGCAAGGTTCCCTGGTAAAATATTAACAATTAAAGACTTCTTAAAGTATGATATTACATCCAAGTTTAATGTGTTTGTACATACGCACAGGTTCTGCTTCCCGTGCACCAGACTGTACATCCAGAGTCGGCGTAGTGATGGCGAAGCCTACTGCCCCAGCGGTGACCGCTGCCCTCTGGACACGTCGGTCAACAGCCCCCCCTGGGCATTCATGCAGGGTGAGGTGTCCACAATCCTGGGCACCGGCGTGACGGGCGTCCCGTCGGCCGCCCCACCCGGAGCGGGGCCCGGTGGACCCGGGGGTGCCGGTGGCAGTGGCTCCAATGGGGCCCCGGCGCATAGCGGCGATGTCACCGTCAAGAAGGAGCGAGAGACGTAATGGTGGTTTCTGTGGCAAAATGGAACAAAAGGCAGGCAGGCACAACACACAAACACCCATCCACAAACATGTTTTTACTCCTCTGTATTACCTCTAGGTGTGGGCCACCATATCTTTTTGAAGTATACACATAGAGTGATAACGCATCTCATCATTGTCCAACACACTGGGAACATTTTCCGTGCATAGACCAGCCAAAATGTCCCCTCCATAAATGTGGGACGCTCGTGGTGGTCCTGGATGATAGACAGACAAGAACACTTACACACACCAGCATCTTTTTTTTTTTAATACCCCTTGGGATATCAAAGGTAGTGCCAAGCAAAGATGAGGAAACACACACACACACACACAAACACACACACACACACACAAACACACACACACACACACAAACACACACACACACACACAAACTTAATACTTTTGTCTCAATACAGCCCCTCAACTCACTCCAATGTAGTTCCTTGGCACAAAGACCAGTCAAAATTTCCCCACACAGAAATATAGCCCCACCAGCAAACAAAATTGGACGATCAGGCTGGTGCCACACTTCATCAAGCAAACATATCACCCCACCATTTCCACTATCATGTCACCTGCCTGCCAGTGTTTCCTTCTCAAAGGTTCCTGGTTGTTTCAAGTGCGATCATCCATTCTACAAGCTGTCATGGAAAAAGATTGCACGTCATTTCATAAAACCTGCCGATGTTTTTTTTTTTTCTTTTTTAAGCTTTTTTTTTTGTAGAACCAGAATGTTCCTCGCACAGATGAACCAAACCAAAGCCAATGTATGTGTATACAATCTGTACGGCTATATGCTGACGTTAACGGTGTAAGACAAGTGCCTTGTGCAGAAGTGTCCTGCCTCTCTGTGGCGTCGCCATGGCGACAACCAATCTGCTCTTTCGTCTTTTGAATGCCGCTTCCTGTACAAAATTACCCGGCGGGAATAAATCAGATGGAAAAAGTCACATTTGTCTTGGTGTTTGTTTGTTATTTTACTTCTAATAAACATCTTCATTGATTACTGGCCTTATGCAGATTGATACTTGAACGTGAGTTGTTAAATTAACTTTGGACCTAGTCCAGCAATGGTCATAATCATCATACTAATGAGTTTATAAAATAGTCGTGATAACTGATAACGTTGTTAGAATAGGTTCGACCCCCAGATGTCGCCTTTTCGCTGCAACGAATATTGTCCTGCACTGATAGCATTCTCGTCATTATGTGACGTTCCTTCCGAATGCAACGATACTGATTGGGGGCCTTGGGGGGGTGGAGCGAAAGTGAGTGAAAGTGTCAACTCATTACTGCCATCGTGGGAGCAATTATGCTCGTGCTAATGGGCCACGCAGCCACCAGTGATATGCAAAGAAGGCACGCAGGGAGGCCCCCCGCGCACGCACGCGCACACACACGCGCCCACTGCAGATGCAGTCAACGACGTCCCCTGCTTCTAGACTTTAGTAATCTCTATTCGTGGTTCTTTTGTGTGTCATGTGCAAGCCCTCTGCAAAACGGTGTGGATATTTTATCAATTAAAAAAAGGTCCATTTTAAAACGCCCTTTTTAACAAACAAATTATTTTTATTAAATCGTTTTTTTTTCAGTATTTTAAGCATTCAAAAATATTTTTCAACGTGAACGTTTGTCTCGACAATTTAAAAAATGAATCGAAACTAACATTAAAAAAAACTGACATTTTAAAATGTTTTTATTTTCATTTTTTATAGTTTAGCAAAAATGTGTTTTTTTTAAATATATTTTTTCAAACTTTTCAACAATCATTTTTTTATTCAAATAAAATAGCCCTTTTTTTTCAACCGAAGAAAATTATTTTTGAACACTGTAATCTTATAAGAAAACATGTTGAACTCTTGTAAGGTTTTTTTGGGGGGGCGCAGTGTTGCAATTTTTGTGGAGAGAGGCAAGTATTTTTACAAGAAAAAGATTTTGAGGAAGGTAGTAGTGTGGGGGGACACGTATTACGAGGTAGATTGTGATTTCTATTTAAGTTTTAGAACTCCAATGTGTAAAAAAAAACATTCAATTATACTTAATTTGATGTTCATCTCCATCAATACTCGGAAGAGGCGCCTATTTCAAATCGATATTTCTTTAGTCACGTTCATAAAAAATGCGTTTCCTTGCACACGATGACGTCACTGACAGGATTAGCTGTTGTCACGAGGCGACATCATTACGCGTACGCAGGTGTCCCCCTTGATCCACTCAGGTACTCCTTGATGCAGGTGCGCCTGTGACACCCCCCACCCTCTACCCCTTTCCTGCTGTATCCTAATCCACGCCGACGACCTCCCCGTGTGCGCGTCATTACACGCCCATTGTGCGGGCCGCCATTATCATGCACACGCACGGCCGTCTTGTGTATTCCGCTCCCGCGCATGCATGACATCGCACGACACTGCGTTTCGTTACTTGGCATTACACTCTATTGTTATATCAAATTCTAGTTGGGCAACGTTACAGAATTACGCTGTGAGAAAGCAATATATATATTTTTCAAATGTCCTTTACAGAAAGCAGTAGTCCTTACTTTATATTTCATTTGTAAATGCGTACAAGAAAAGAAATGAACATCAAAGTCCATAGGGGAACGTAAAACGATCGAATTGTTTCAAATGACGACAAGAACGAAGGAGTAATTTTATTTTGACGTTGCAGGCTACAAAGGAGCAATCATGAAATATTTCTTTTATGTGCAAAAAACAAACAAAAAAAAGAGTTCAATGTGTATATTTTCAGGCCAAAAATAACTAAGCGAATAATGTACCGAAAAAGTAAAATACTAAATTGGCCGATATGTCACAGCTCTAATAATAATAATAATAATAATGAAATACATATTTTGTTGATCTTAGTTGGCGTTTTACATTAGAATGTTTGCTTTTATGATATTTTTCATATTCATTGTGGTTGCATGCACTCATGAAACCAGCAATTTGAAATAAACCACTCAATTCTATATTTTTTTTCAATTGAAGTATTGCATTTATTTTAATTATATATTTAATGTTCGTTTATCAACGCACACCCACACACCCTTCAATCTTACAATGTATAAATTAGACATGTTGCAGAGTTATCATATACTCATAATGATAGTCTCATTGTGCGTTCACTCGTGTCGACCCAGCATCATAATTGTGCTATTTAATTACTGCTATATGCTCTTGTGCTTATACATGCAACGTGTTGTATTGTGCCATGTTTCATGCCAATAGAGTTGAGCGTTAGCCAAATAGTCTTCTCTGAGTAACGTTCAAATTATTGATATTACGCATGCGCCCGAGTGACGTGGGCTGATTTGATGGCCTTTTTTAAGGCAAATTTGCAGCCTTGTAAATGTCTTCCTTTTGCCAACGTGTGAAAGATTCCAAGGAGGTGACAGCCGCGGGAATTAACGACTTTCACGCCAACACCCACCTAACAACTAACAAGTGCCGCCCCCCTCCCTCCTCATCCCAACCCTCGGGCCACAAACTGACGGACCTCTGCCCGCCCCCCTACCAACACTTGCCATGCTGACAGTTTTAACTTGTTTTCACTTTTGTTGGGTATGCCATCTGAACTTTTAATGGGCTTTTGAGAGGGTGGGGGCCAAGGGGGGTGGTGGTGGTGGTGGTGTTGGAGGTCCTGCCTGCTACAGCCGGGGTGGCCGCCGGTCCGACCGGGCCAATAAACAGCACGCCAGGGGGCCACATCGGTCTTTTTTTGCAGGGGCCTCCTTCCTGACTCCATATTGAAATGTGCAGGAGAAGAGGAAGGGGGGGTGGGGGGATCGTGGGCGGGGTCCCGGCTGTACCTTATAAAGGAGTAGAAGTGGGACCGGCCGCTGTCCTCACGCCGTCCTGCGCTCCCGCCTGACACGCTCCGGGCCTGCACGTCACGTCACTGGCCTCCACGTCTGCACACAGCTGGGAAACAATGGACCCATGAACTTTGAGTCACTTGACACAACTTTCCACGTTAACGGAGCTTTTTTTTTTTTTTTTACGTGTCATCAAGGATTGTAACTTTTTTTTTTTAAACAGGGAAAAAGTGTCACCCAAAAAAAGTGTTAAAGTGCGAGTAGCTCGTCCGGTTCCTCTCAGTGTTTCTTTGTGGGGATGTTGAGCTCTGTGAAGATGGAAGCCCACGACCTACCTGAGTGGAATACTTTCTACAGCGAGGCCAGCGAGGTAAGGACAAGAAACCCTTTTTTTTTCTTGCATAAATATTGCTACATAAATGTAAAAACGTACAAAAAAAAAAACCCCGTATTATTGTTGCCTGGTAAATCCAAGCTGCATTTCTTTTTTTTAACTTAGGGGGAAAAAAACTGACTTCAACTCACTCATTGACTTCATTCCATTTGTACAAATATTTCGTTTCTCAAATGAAGTGATATTAAATTATGTAGTCCAATACGAAAGGATGACCAATAAGTGACTTATTGAATATGAATGCATTTTTATCAAAAGTGAGCATTTAAAACCGTATACACAATTCAATACATATATTTCTTTCCTAAAACAACATAATCAATAATTTAAAATACATTGAAGAGTCCAAAAGAACAAAAAGATAACACGCATTTTTACATTCCAAAAACGTGGAGTAGAAAATGTGTATACATGTACGTGTGTATATTTAGAGGCCAAAATAGCACAGCAAAAATAATTACGTGTATTTTCTACGCCAAAGGGGAAAAGAAATACATAAATAAATAAATATATTACAGGAACGGTACAAATAGTTAAATGTGTATTTTTTTTTTATCTTGTAAAGGCAAAACCAACAGAAAATACGTTGTATATTTTATAGGCCAAAATCCTACAATAAACGTACATATGTTGCTTTCTTTGATTTTAGGGTATATGAATAAATTTGACTTGACTCGAAATATACTTCAAAGGCAGGAACAACTTACAAAATAATGATATTTACTTTAGAGGCCCTCAAAAACATTAATATATGTCATATATATCACGAAGTAAAAAGAATTCCACCTATATGTCATATTCCAAATTGAACATGACAGATTTTTTTTTTCCCAAGTCGTTCAAAAATGAAGCAATTGTTCACGTTTGGTGACGTAATTGCAGTTGGTTTTACGGAGACACATTGAATTCAGATGCATTCGTCTGTAAAGTAATTCAAACGCATTAGAGGTTAAAGTTGGGCTTATAATTCAATTAAAAGTTAATATAATCAACTGCTGATGAAATTACCACGTTGGTAATATTTAACCAAAGTGCGCGTGAAGCCTCAACTCGCCTCACTTGGAACTTTCCGCGACGTTGTATATCTTAGCGTGACCCATTTTTTATTTCTATTTTATACATTTATACATTTATATAAATATATATATACACATACAGATATACATATACACTTAAAAAACATTTTAACACAATTTCTAAGACCTTTAGGAGCTACTTGCGTTTTTCCGAGCACGGAGAGGAGCGGAGACACATTGAATTCAGATGCATTCGTCTGTAAAGTAATTCAAACGCATTAGAGGTTAAAGTTGGGCTTATAATTCAATTAAAAGTTAATATAATCAACTGCTGATGAAATTACCACGTTGGTAATATTTAACCAAAGTGCGCGTGAAGCCTCAACTCGCCTCACTTGGAACTTTCCGCGACGTTGTATATCTTAGCGTGACCCATTTTTTATTTCTATTTTATACATTTATACATTTATATAAATATATATATACACATACAGATATACATATACACTTAAAAAACATTTTAACACAATTTCTAAGACCTTTAGGAGCTACTTGCGTTTTTCCGAGCACGGAGAGGAGGGGGGGGGGTGCGTGCGGAGCATCGTGACGCGCTTTTTACGCACTTTGACGTTCACGCGTGAGTGTGAAATCCGCGCGCACTGAGAGCTTCATTGTGCATTGACAAGAAGAAGGAGAAGAAGCCACTCACGAAAAGGCACCTTCACAATTTCCAGAAAAAAACCCTTCATTTTAGTTGTTACTCCAATTTTGGGGGAACTGGGGAAAAAGAAGCTAATCACAAAACTGGGAAGAAGCTGGCAAGGCCACAAACCTGACTCCAATCTTGGGACGTCACTCACGAGGCCACACCCCTTAAAGGCAAACATCCAACACATGAATACAAGAATACAACAATGAACAGAAAACTAATTTTCTTGGGGAGCTACAACTGATTAATGTGGTGGCTTGCAATGGGGGAGATGGATTGGGCGGGGGGTTGGGGGGTCATGGGCACCTTTTTACATTTTTTAATCAGGAATAAATACAGTATTATTAACGTCAAATATAAAAACATAACCGAACAAAAGAGGTTGTAACCTGCATGGTTTCATCAAATGTAATTGCTATTCACTGGAGTATCCGTGTGCTGGTTGTCCTTAAAAAGGGGCGTGGCCTAGTGAGTTTTCCATTTTGAATTAGCGTGTTTGACGATTAGTCGAGTTCAAGAAACTCTTGGCTCTCCTTGCCCATGTGCAGGGTATCAAACAGTGATCCATTTGTTTTTCACTTCACTTGAGCGGTAGCAGCTCTGATGTTCAATTGCAACTCAAATTTTGGCACACAACACAAAGAAAAAAATACAAACCGACCAAGCAACCTCTCAAAAAAGTTCGGGCACTGGTTGTCAAGGTACCACCGTATGTGCTTTGTGATTGGCTGGCAACCAGGCCATTGATTGTCTTTGTGCACCCTGGCATTGACTATTGACCAATCCATTGTTTGTAACCCAGTGTTCTCAAAATGACTTACAAATATTGAGAAAATGAATCGTTTCAATACCTTTTTTAATTTGAAATTGGTCAATTCCTCAGAATTTCACCTTCTGAACAGGAAACACTCTCTGACAAATAGACACTGGGTCATATTTTTGATGCTGATTTAAAAAAAACGCCTTTACTTTTTTGTTGTTGTTTTTGTAGCCCATCAGGTTTTTGAGACATTTTCATTTTTTGTTTCTAAGTTTGACCTACAAAATGCGCATTTTTACTACACATTGTAATTCATGATATTTCAGAAAAAAATGAATACGGGATGTGCTCGAGAAAAAAAAAATGAAAGATTCGGAATCAGCGCAAAAAATTCAAACCAGCCCACGGTGTATCCCGCCTAAAAGTCACTCGCCTCACTATTGAGGAAAAGCACGATAGAAAATGGATGGCTGTATTGCTAATGAACTGCTGTTGTGTTTGTGTTTCAGATGTATTCCTCGCCCAGCAGCATGAACTCCGCCCTGGCTTCCGTCAGCTCCATGGGCCCCATCAACAGTTACATCAACCTCAACCCGACGGGTGGCGGCAGTGGCGGCAGCCTGAACATGGCGTACCCTGGCTCGGGCCTCAGCACATCCCCACTGACCTCCATGGGCTCGGGCCCGGCCCACATGCCACTCTCACCGGTAGCGCCCTCCCTGGGCTCGGGCTCACTCACCCAGCTGGGCCCGAGTGCCACCCAGGGCTCCCTGTCCCACTACGGGAACATGGGCCAGTCCATGAGCCAGCTGGGCTACCCGTCAGGCGCCTCTCTAGGCCGCGCCGCGCCCAAGGAGATCCCGCCCAAGCCGTACCGCCGCTCGCTGACACACGCCAAGCCGCCCTACTCATACATTTCGCTCATCACGATGGCCATACAGCAGAGTGGCAGCAAGATGCTCACCCTCAACGAGATCTACCAGTGGATCATGGACTTGTTCCCGTACTACCGGGAGAACCAGCAGCGTTGGCAGAACTCCATCCGCCACTCGTTGTCCTTCAACGATTGCTTCGTCAAGGTGGCTCGCTCGCCCGACAAACCGGGCAAAGGCTCCTACTGGACTCTGCACCCACAGTCGGGTAACATGTTTGAAAATGGTTGCTACCTACGACGCCAGAAACGCTTCAAAATCGACGACAAGGTATCCAAAAAGGGGGCAAAGGAGGGTGGTAAGGCGGGCGACCGCAGCCCGGCGGGCGGAGGCTCGGACGAAGCTGACTCAGCCCACTCGGACAACTCCCACCCGGGTTCGTCCGACGACCAGTCACTACCCCGCGGGACCGCCGGCAACGCCTTGCTGGTGCCGCTCGACTGCCCACCGCCACCTCCCGCCCCTACCGCCATGCCACCCACCTCCTCGGCTGCCATCTTCCACTCCCAGTCCACCCACCTCCTACCCAGCCCGATGGGGCCGCACATGGACCTACAGAGCGACGCCCTCAAGTCCCTGGACCCCCACTACAACTTCAACCACCCCTTCTCCATCACCAACCTCATGTCCAATGAGCAGAAGATGGACCTCAAGTCCTACCAGGACCAGGTGATGGCGTACAACAGCTATGCCACGAGCGGCTCACCTGTGGCCGCCAAGCAGATCTACGACAGCCCTGGACCGGCAGCCATGGACTCTGGTGCCTACTACCAGACTCTCTACAGCCGCTCCGTGCTCAACGCATCGTAATCTAACACAATACAAGATGGAAGCTTGCTGAACAGACTCGAAAATGGCCAACGTGTACGCAAAGCCATCTGAGCCTCTTTTCCATATCCTTGAGATCCATTTTAATGTCCGTGTACTAGTACGTTCGTTACCATCACTAGTAAGACAATACAACCCCTGGAAGAATGATTGTGTTTTACTCATAATGTTTTTTTTTCATGACTTGCGTCCTCCGGTACGTAATGAAACCTTACCCGTAAACTACTTAGCTGAACAGTAACACTAGTAGGCCCAACTGGACAATTCAGCGCCCGATTAGAATATATCAAGAAAATGGAATAAATGCTCAAATGCAGGTTGAGCATTTATTCCACATCCGTGAGATCCATCTTAAGGTCCATGTACTAGTACGCTCTTTAGCACACTAGAAGAATGCCTGTCTTAACGAGTAACGGTTTTTCCCACGACTGTCTGATGAGAAATGCTTCGTCCCGCTACTTGTGTCACTTTTGATCTCCTAGTATGCAATGAAATCTTATCGGTTACCATCACAAGGCCTAACTCATAGGCATGTGGCATACAATAGCAGACTCCTTATCAAGGTTTTATTCCATGCCTCCCATATACTACTAGTGGAGCCAATGAGCATACCAGTCAATGAACTTGATGCTGGTTATCATGGATCTGGAATAAATGCTCAGACGGCTTTCCCTAGCCACATTACGAAGGACCACATGTTTTTCTTTCCCCCTATGGAGACTCTCTGGTTACATCCAATGATGAAGATGTTGACAACGATGAAGATAGATTTTGTACAAAGTGTAAATAGCGGGAATGTGTGCGTATGCGTGAGTGTGTAAAATGGGTATTTGCATTTATTTATAAAGGGAATACATTTTAATATATCTTATATTCTGCTTTGTCCAAACAGTTACAGACATGTGCTTCAGGTGTTACTTTCACGCTTCATGTTACAAAAGCCTGTTTTCATCGCATCCTATACCGCTTGCCCCTTTTTAGTTTTAATCTGGAATAAGTGATGTTCTGGAATGATTGAATATTCTGGGATGCCGAATGTCATGGGACACAGACGTTCAAGTGTGGAAAGGTTTTAGAATAGGTATGTTCTGGAATAAATGGGTATTCTGGAATAAAACAATTTTATCAGGCAAGAATATCCTGGCAGAGAAAAATACCGTAACTGTAATATTCTGAAATGAAGGGATATTCGGGAATAGGAAATGTTCTAAAATTGGGAATGTTATGGGACAGGAATATTCTGGTCTGGAAAAAATGTAGAATAGAAATGGTCTGGAATATGGGGATGTGCAGGAATAGGAACATTCTAAAATAAGGAATGTTATGAGACGGTAATATTCTGGTGTGGGAGAGGTCTTGAATATGAATGTTCTGGATATTAGTGCGCTGGGATAAGCATTGCTTGGAAATAGGAATGTGTCCTGGAATTTGGGGATGTTCTGACAAAATGAATGTTCTGGTATGGGACACGGCTAGAATAGGAATGTTCAAGATTCTGTTTGGGGAATGTTCTGGAATAGTATAAAGTTCCTGAATGAATGACTATTCTGGAATAAGGAATGTTATGGGAAAGGAATGTTCCGGTCTGGAAAAGATCTAGAATAGGAATGTTGAGGAAAAAGTGTTATGGGAATATTTCGGAACACACGTTTCAGAATAAATGACTATTCTGAATTAGGGAATGTTATGGGACACAAATGTTCTGGTACATCCAAAATCTAGAATAGGAATAAAAATGTTCTGGAATATGGGGATGTTCTGGAATTGTCATGTTCCAAAATAAATTACAATTCTGGAAAAAAGGAATGTTATGGGACACGAATGTTCTGGTATGACAACATTCTAGAATAGGAATGTTCTTAAATCTGAATATTCTGGAAAATGGAAGGTTTGAGAAAGGAAATAGATGGACTATGGGGACATTTGGTCTGAGAATATTGAACGAGAACACCATTCAGAATAGATGACTATCGTGGAATAAGAACTATGGGACAAGAATGTTCTGGTATGGTAAAATGCGTGAATGGAAAGGTTCTGGGGTACAAATATTCTCGAGTGAGGAGTGTTTGGGAAGATCAAGGTTGTTTTGGAATATGGGGATGTTTCGAGGAAGGAGGCAAAGCAAACTGTGGTAAAGACTTTCACAACGCATTTAATTTCCCCCTTGTTACCTGTTTGAGTGGGTTGGCTTGGACCAGGCCAGTCGTCGAGGGGAGAGTGTGTGTGTGTGTGTGTGTGTGTGTGTGTGTGTGTGTGTGTGTGTGTGTGCGTGTGAAGCTAGTTACTAATACGAGAAGAGAGGAGAGATGCACTATGGGAGATTTACATACAGTACTTTGCACTATGGAGCTCCCACTGGCCAGGTGGGCTGATAGTGTGCATGTGTGTTGGTGTATGTATGTGTGTGTGTGCGTGTGTGTATGTGTGTGTATGTGTGTGTATGTGTGTGTGTGTGTGTGTTACAATACTGAGCGGGGTGGTCTCTGAGTTTAGCCAAATGTGTCACATTGCGGTCCAAAAGTGCCTTTTCCCCCCTCTTTTTCAACAAAGTGAAGGATGATAAAAGTTCAGGTCACATGACGGATGACAAATTGTCATATTTAAGCTATGTGGTCGCTTTTTGTTTTCACAAACTACTTTTTTTTAAACTCTGTGTGTCCTTTTAATATATTGTTTATTCTTCTCAATGTGATGGCCATCATTCATATTTCTTAATAAAAAAGGTTTAAATGGGAAAAATGTGTTGTGTTTTCATGGCATTTTGTTCATTGTACATTTGTGTGGGCAAATTCTGTGTTTTCAGGGTACAATATTACAATTGGATCATATTATAGCAAAATATGTTTTCTTCCCCTGATAAAGAGGGCTCTATTTTCGTAGACAGTAAGGTCGGGCGTAAAAAATGGCGCAGAGGTGATTTTGTGTGCAGGTCCAAGTGTATCAGTGGTTCTTAACCTGGGTTCGGTCGAACCCCAGGGGTTCGGTGAGTCGGTCTCAGGGGTTCGACGGAGCCTCTGCCATGAAGGGTAAGACAGACGCGACTCAACATGTTAATTAGTTATGATACGCTCGCTTGGCCATCACTGGCTGCAGATGATCACATGACAATTGCTTGTCTAATCAGTGCTGTGGGAAATTTTGTTCGCTTCGTAGTCAACGTGTGACTGTCGTGATAGTACGTCGTAAAATTAAAAAAAAAAAAAAGTATACTTATCCCTTTAAATTGTATAAATTTTTCTGTTTTTAATAAATGCGTTATTTTTTAATATCTTGAATTTGTAAAAAAAATATATATTTTTTTTTTCACTCATGAACTGTTTGGTGAATGTGCATATTAAGTGGTTGGGTTCGGTACCTATAAAAAGGTTAAGAACCACTGAATTTTTTAAAAATATACTGAAGTGCTACAGTGAACTGCGAGTGATGGTGGGCCCAGAAGCGCCACCAAGGTGGTCAGATGCTTCGTTTTCTTGTTGAGACAGCTCGGGGCCAAATGGACGCGGCGTGCAGCAGACTAAACATGGACGCCTCACACTGAGAGCCTCAAAGAGCAATCTGGGCGAGGGCCGTCGGCGGGCCGTCCGCGCGCGGATCCTGACCCCGGCGCGACCTCGGCGACGAATCAACAAAGACGGCGGGAGAAGGAGCACGTTGGATTTTTGTCTTTTCGACGCATCTGACAACGGCCATCGATTGGCTGTGGGACGGCGTACGACATCCAAGTGCCGCAAAAAGATGAATGGTGACCTTCAGATACTTTGTGGAATAGATTAAATTTTTGTGACAATATATTCTATTTTTGTGTGCAAAACAAGGAGCAGCACAGCGTCCATTCAATTGTAGCAAAAAATATTTCAAAACATGCTAAATTGTTTAGATTTCCGTATGTCATTACTCTGTGTGTTTTTATAAAGGAAATAGTGCCGTAAAGTGCTATTTTTCTGATTGAAGCATTATGAAGACTTTTGTATTTTATTTGATTTCATTTTATTTATTTATTTTATGGGTAGGAGGCATTTCGTCAGGGAAAGATGATTTGAGATGGTCACACTTCAAGGCACCGCTTTCACTTGAACCTACAAATGAAACTAAAAAAGTTTGGTCATCTCTTAGGATGAATGTTTTATAAAAGGAGAAAAGTGGAAGCTGAAGAAGATTGACTTCAGGCTAAAGATGAAGAGGTTTTGCATGTGTACTGACAAGAAGAAGAAGAGTAGGAAGAGGAGGAGGAGGAGGAGGAAGAGGGAAAGTGCACCACCGAGACTCTTGTCATCTTGTTGAATATTTGACCCCTGGGGCACAACAGATAACTCAACACTTGTGCACGCAATTACAAAACAAAAACTGAGGAATGAGTCAAACCAACAACAAAAACATGACGGAACTAAAGAAATAAAAAGGAAAGAAGTTGGGACGGTGAGTCCTACAAATAGATAAAAAGAGAAGAGAAGCTAAAAAGAGAGAAAGGTGTGTGCGTGTGCATGTGTTTTCAGGAGCTAAGATGCAAATGAAGCGGTGCATCCTGGATCCTGTTAGGTGGATGCTGTGTTTACTCTGCTTATAGCCTGTGGGGAGGGAGGGGTGAGGAGAGGGGGAGGAGGGAAGGATGATTGG